TTATGAGATGAAGACTGAGTTACTAGGTCTAAATGGTAACGAGATTGAAGATATATCGATGTGATCAGTATAAAGATATGCATATAGGGGTCAGTCATCAGGCTAATGATGATAAGAGATGAGACCAGTTACCAGACTAGTGATAATAAGAGACGGGACCAGTTACTAAGCTAGTGGTAACAAACATGAGATGACAAATGTATTTGTGACCGAATGTGTGCGTGAATGTTTTGAGTTATAAATGTCTTTTCATTATAAAGTTATTTGTCAACATGAGACCATTTTGTTTAAATGATTATGTGAGATAGGTTAGGGTACAATTTGTTGTACTTATGAATGTATCAAAGTTTATTTTTGTATATAAACTGTGAGACTTATTTTCATACCTCATTAGAGGTGGTTGCTATTCACAGGTCGTGCTCATACAAACATCTAACATTTTCAGGTGAGAATTAGGGTGAGAAGTAAGTCTGCAAATAGACAAGGACTTAAAAGACTTGAAGATTTATTTTAGTGTAGTTCTTCAAGATTAAGTGTCATTTATTGTTTTGAAACAAATATTTAATTATTTTGAAAATAACATTCTTTATGTTTAAAGTTGTCAACCTTATAGTTTGATTATGGTTTTACATGAGTTTAATAATGATGTTGGTGATGTTTAGTTTATTCCTCTGGTATTTATTAGGTCGGTGGATTTGATCACTTTGTTATTTATCTTCTATTGTATTTTGTATTTAATATGCACAAGATTAATTGGTTAAAGTCTTGGTGGCCAGTCCGCCACACACCCTACGTGATCCGGAGTGAGGGTGTGACAACCAATATCATTACCCTATATTGAAAAAAAAAACTTAGACCTAATATAATGAGATAATTCATAGATTGACAGTTGGCTACAATATTAAATGAGATAAACTTTCAATGCAATTAGCACCAATGTAGATTAAGCCAACTTATTATGACATCAAATTGGATCCAATTAGCATTACTGAAATGAAAATATTTGTTCCTACAAAAGCAATAGTATCAAAAGTGATGAAAAAATAGACAATAAATTCTTCTAATAAATTGAAAAGTCGTTGGCGTCTATCCACAGATTCCCCTGGTAAGGTTTTACCTTCCAAGTTCTGGTGAAAGCCACACTCAGAGCTCTATCAATGTCAAATACTGGCGCCTCTTAACTTTCACACTTAACTCTTTAAGCACAGCAAAACTTACTGGTTTGACTAACGTTCAGAGGGTAACCCCTTATTGGAGATGTCCTCTCTTATCTAAGTACTAGTTATCGGAATAGAAAGAAAAAACAACTGTTTAGAGCCTCCAGAACCTGATAAGTTCGACCATTTGAAATATCAAGTCGCTAGTTTAACCCTCCCTGGTGGACAAACTAATGCATCATTGTTTGGGTTCTCTAAAGGTGGACCAATTTCAGAAACTGACGTTCAGCGTCCAACACAATCACATAATGAGTCAGGATTTGGTTCCATCACTATGCACACTCCAGGGTCTCGTTAAACATGCGGTGATGTGGCTAAATCACTTGATTTTCATCGTGGGGGTTATGTTGGATAGAAGTTCACCCTATAAAGTTTGACCAACTTCAACTCATCAAAATTCTGTGTAAAAATCCATCTGTAACTTGCCTGCCACCTTTCTATGCCTTTCAGCTCTTCTCGGGGGCTATTTATTCCATCAAGAGTGATCATAAGCATATCAGACTGGCGGAAATAACATTGAAGAGCCTCAAGACGTGAAGAACATAAAGGAACAGACAGCAAATACACTAGCTTAAAAAGCTACCCTCTTGCTTCAAAGAACTGTAACAGTTTCTCAATTTATGGTTAGAACAACTATTCACACAGCAGAGAAAACAACTGACCTTCAAAGAAATGTATAGAAGTAGCAAAAGGGTAACCAAATACAAGAGCTTTCCAGCCATTGCTGGGTATAAAAATATGAATCCTCGTGAATAATCCTATTGAGAGATATGGAAGAATAATATCTATGGAGGGCCTGTCCAATTGGGGAACCAGAACATGTAAGGTCTGAGATTCACATTATTCACTAATATTCCAATTTCGAAACAACGAGATTCACTGCAACTCTCCTGCAGTTCCATGTTGTTTTGTTAATTCCATATTCACTATTTTGATGACACTTTGTTTGCTGCGTACCAAATTGGCCATTTTATAATCGGCCAATTCATATGTTCTTCTTTCCCTTTTGAATAGTAGAATAAAAGCAATGAAATAGCAACATGATGCAAAAGCATAGAACCCCCTGCAATAACTGGAAAGAGCATGAGATATCACCAAAAAATGTGAACTCATGCTCTTTCTGTAATATAAAGCAATAGCGGTAAAAAATACCAAGTAAGAGCATCTAGATCAATTAGTTGTTTCTTTTAATGAAAGAAACTTGGCCTAGTACCAAAATAGCATATAAAAAATACCATGAATTTCCACCTGATGTATTCACGAAATAGCCAAGACAAACGTATAACACTACCCAGAAATATGTACCAAGCAGCCAAGAAGAACAAAATTATCATCACATAGATGAATCTGTAGACAAATACATTCAACACCATTTAGAGTCTGACAATTGGATATACTAATAGAGTAATACCAGATCATGATTGTAACTAACCAACTCTGTTAGCTTTAATCTGTTAGAGTCCTATCTAATCTACAATAGCTATCATCTATCACTTGTAAATTCAAACACTTGTATATTGATTATAAATACAACAGCACAATACCTACTTACGGGTAAGACATTCACCACATCAAACTACGCCTTCCATTGTTGCAACTTTCAACACTTTAGCACCTTCCTCCTTTAGGCTGGTTGTTGTCACAATCACGCAGACTCGACTATGTTTGTTCTTTGGACGTCTGGCAATACCTTAGTATATGTGTCAATGATATTATATTGACAAGCAAACATGCATCTTTGTTAAACAAGTTTTTTGGCTCAACTTGGCCGTAAATTCCCCAATTGTTCAAAGTATCAACCGATACCGATACGAGTTGGCCCGAAACGATACCGTTACAGGATAAGTATAAATCTTGAGTCTCGCATAACTCGCTCTAGTCGTCCGAATTGTATCCGAGTCACTGAGTTATCCTTACCGAATCGGCTGATACGGTTTCGCGACACTGTGATATGACCTGAATCTCTCGTCATGTTTAACACTTTCTTTTAGATCGTATTGCACAAGTCGCTGAGATATGACTGGAATCTCTCCCCATGTCTCAATCTTTGTTACTCCATCAATCAAGTTTGCCAATTTCTCCACTCACCCGCATATGAGCATCTCTAGGCAGTCAAGCACATTCTGCACTACATAAAAGGTTCACTTGGCTTAGGTCTTACTATTCATCTTGGCTCCTCTCAGTCCTTATTGTTTTGCTGACGCCCTTATCAATCTACCACTAGGTTTTGTATCTTCTTATGCCCAAATCTGGCGTCATGGGCAACCAAAAAGCAACCAACCGTTTCCTGATCAAGCACTGAGGCGGAGTATAAAGACTTGGCTGTCAACACGTTTGAAATGAAATGGTTTCCTACTATTCTTTATGACAACCTTAGTGGAACACACATGGCCGTTAATTATGTTCTTCATGCGTGCATCAAGCATATTGAGGTCAATTACCACTTTGTCCGCAATCTTGTAGTGAATGGCACTCTTTGGGTTCAGCTGGTTCGCTCTAACTCTCAACTTGCTAATATCTTCATCAAAGGATTATCCACCCGTACATTTCTTCATCATATTGCCAAACAATTACAAGTTCCCACCAATAGTTTGTAGGGGTGTAATAGAGTAATACCATATCATGATTGTAACTAACCAAATCACAATCCTTTAGAGTCCTATCTATCACTATCACTTGTAAATTTTAACACTTGTATATTGATTATAAATACAATAGTAATACCCACTTATGGTTAAGGCATTCACCACATCAAACGTTGTCTGTCATATACTCTGTGGAGTTCACATTTTAACAGTCCACTTTAATGTCACGGGATTTTGGGGAGAAAAGAAAGATCATTTGTGATCAATCCCACTGAATAAAATGTGACATCATGCTGTCACATTAAGAACCCTAAGGGTGTATCAGAAAATAGGAAATTATGAGATGGAGAATTCTGTCATGTTCCTTATCTATATCGTGTACCAGAAGATTCTGGGGAGAAAAGAAACTATGTCACATGTTCACAGACAGAAAGTTGGTGCAGTGGCCGCATCGAACAGTGAAAGTCTTGAAAAAACTGGTGCAAGGAAGTGAAATCAATCCCTTCACTCTCAATATATACATACCCATTTCCGGTAAGGACACTATCAGCAAATACTCGAATCCATTGACAGGTGTACACAAGGAACCTTATGACAAACTAAAGACTTGCAGAGGAATTCCTTTGCCTTATTTATTAATAAGCTCCTCTAAAAATTCTTTAAATAGAGGAAGATTAGCAATTGCAATATCAAGCTCACTATATCGAGTTGGGTCCCCCGTTTAGTCTATGGGCATTTGCTGTGCCAACTCTAATGCAAAAGCTAGGGTATTTCATCATAGCTTTGGATTCTATTATTCATTGTTTGTTTTTAATTTACATTACTATTCTATTAGTTTAAATTGTTATTCTGTTTTCCAATCATATTCTATGTTTTATAATTTATTGGAAGTAGTATTGGATTTGTTCTTCGTATTTGTTTTGTTTGTTGAATCGATGGATTTACCTAACAAGAATGCCACCCCAGAATGAAGCTGTCCAATTCGGCAAAGAGAACTTGCAAGAACTGGCATTCACATCACTCACTAATTTTCCAACTTCAAAGAAATCACCGAGATTCACAACAATCTGCAGTATCTTGATGTAGTTTAACTCCATATTTACTAATTTGGTGGCTTTTAACATTGGTGGTTTGCTAAATAAAAAATTGGCCCTTTCATACTCTTTCCCTTTCGAATATATTAAAAGCAATGAAATAGCATGATTATGCAAATGAACACACCGGTGAAAGAATTGGAAGGAGCATAAGATAAAATCCATAGCAGTCAAAAATATCAAGTAACTGACATGTAGATCAATTAGTTGTTTCTTGTAGTGAAAGAGCAATAAAAAAAAGTGAGGACATGATCCTAGCTTCAGCAAACAGACTTGTTTACACTTAAAGCTGTAGGAACTTGGCTTAACAAAGAGGACTTATCCGGAAACCTGATCCACTCAATGTCCACGAGCAACATACGCAACAGAAACAGCAGCAAAAATAGTTGTAGCAGAAGACAACAAAGCCCAAAAGCCATTCTTCTTGCGCGCCTTTGCCACAGAATTCTGCAAGAACTCAAGCTCCCGCCTCATGTCTTCAACCTTATTCTCTCTACCCTTGAAAGCATCCTTGATTGCTTCCAATTCTCTGACATGTGGTTCGGTCTCTTCTTTTGCCTTCTGCCCATTGACAAGCACACTATCTTCAATGACACCCCTTTCGTCGTTAGAGCTAACCAATGCCACAGTTTTCCTTAACATGTTCAATACTAGCTCCGAGTTGAGATCTGATAATTTCACTTTGGCCCGCATGTCATCAAATTCTTTTCTGGCCTCAGCAAGTGTTTCCTCCACTGAGGCTATTTCCTTCATCAACATTGTGCAGTGGCTCTCCAACTCTTTCTTCTCCCCTATGAGCTTGCAATTTTCAGCCTCCATCCCCCCAGCTAGCTTCTTGGTTTCTTCAGTACTTTTCTCCATTTCCAAACATTTCGCCCTCAAGTTCACTCCATTAACTTTCTCCTCATCAAAATCCTTTCTAGCCTCATCCCTCTCCATTGTAACTCGATCAATCACATCCCTATGATCTATAACTTCACATTCCAATTGCTTGATCTTCTCCATTTGATCCTTGCTTAACTCTTCCAGTGATGAGATAGTACCCCTCAGTTCAGCCACTTGTTTTTGCAATCCAACAATATCACTCTCCATTCCAAGCTTAGCCTCCTCTATGACAATTTTGTCCAAAACTGTTTTATCCATCTTTTTTTTCTTTTCATCTAATTGTTTCAAAGCTTCATTCAAATCTTTCATTACCAAGCTTTTTTCCTCAATCAAGCTCTCACACCTCTTCTCAGTCTCTTTCTTTTCTTCTACCATCATATTCATTTCTATTTTCATCTGCTTTTGATTCTCCACACCTTCAACACACCTCTTCTCTGACTCACTCAAATTTGCGTGCAGCCTATCTTCCTCCTTTTTCAGACTCAATACCCACTCCTTGAGCACACTCAACTCATTTTCCAACTCATTTCTCTTTCTCATTTCTACGTTTCTCTCCTCCTCAACGACTTCTTTTGCCTTAAAAATTTCCTCAATCTCTGTCTTCATTTCCTCAGTTGCCCTATATGACTCCTCTAAACTCCTCTCCATCAAGTCCTTATCCCTCATCATTGATTTAATTTGAAGTTCTCTGTCATCTTTTTCCTCCACTACACCAGTATATTCGACATTTAATTTCTTAAGCTCTTCCAGAATCTCTTTCTCTTTCTTCTCTGTCTCAATCAATTTCACTCTCAACCCATTTGTCTCCTCAATTTGCAGATCAAGTGTAGCCCTCGTTTCATCTTTATCTTGACAAACCCGGCTCAAAAAATCTCTCTCATTAGCAAGCTGAACCTCAAGCTCATTCAAATTCTTCTTCAATTCCCCAATTTCAAACTCTTTCTCAATCTTCTCCTTCTCAATCTCACTTTTCTCAATCAAAACCTCCTTCATTTCTCTCTCTAAATTTCCCATTTTCCTCTTAATCTCCACTTTCTCCCTGCAAAACCCATCTCTCTCCCTCTCAACCACCTCAGCATGTTGTGTCACCTGCATTGCAACAAACACAAACACCAAATTCCTCTCCAATTCCAACTGAACGGTTGTTTCATTCAACCGAGTCAACTCAGACTGTAAAACTTCTTTCTCCGAGTTAGCTCTAATAAGCTCCGATTCCAGAGACCCTTTTGATTGCATAAGTGAGTCCACTTGTTGTCGGCGTTCAACGGTCTCCTTGAGAAGCATAGAGTTGAGGAATTTCAGGCTTTCTAGCTTCTCTGAAGCGTCCTCCATGGTCAAGGTTTGGTGGATCTCCTGTTGCTCTTGGTTTTGGGGTGGTTTTTCTGGGTTGGTCACCTTCTTTTTGGCCATGGATTTATGGGTTTGAGTAGGTTTTCTGTGGTGTTTTGAGGCTGAAAATGGGATTGAAGATGAGAGGCTTGTGGTTTTCTAAGTTTTTTTTTTTTTACGGTGGAGAAAATATGAGACACTGCACTGCTGAGGATAAACTGGTGGAGAGAGAAAGCAGAGAGAGATTCGGTGTTGAAAGTGAGAGGAGGGTTTAGGGTTTTTGAGGATTTTCGTATGAAGGAGTATCTATTTCAAAGCATGAAATGGCTAGTAAACAATGATCTACAAGGGGTATATCGGTCTTTAAAATAAAATGAAAGGGTATTCTAGGTAATAAGGTATTGAGTTGAGATAAAGAGAAAAAGTTGTAGCCAATTGTATTTGGCCACGCAATGCGATGGAGGGGACTCTTTGATGCTTAAAGCAGCGAATATTTCCTCACAGAGAGAGAGAGAGATGAAACGGAGGTTGTTTTTTTTTCGAATTCAAATTTTGGGGGGGTCGCTGTTCGAGGAATTTTCTTGGAGATTGCAAATTGCTGTTGGAAGCATAAAGGACGGAAGGCCGTTGGACCACGTGGTTGCTAACACTACGGATTCTTTAATGCATTTACAAAATTAAAATAACTTCCTCTTGTAGTTTTTAACATTTATTTTTTCTCCGTTTTCAAATATATGTCGTTTAATATTTTTGCACATGAATTAAGTAAGTTATTAAATAATTCTAACATGAGTAAAAAAATAATTACACAAGACTAAAATACTCTTATTCAATACGTATTAAAAAGAAAAAAAATATGAAAGATACTTAGCCTACGCATAATTTATTAAGCACTTATTAAAAAACAAAGATAAGAGTAAATTTGAAAAAAAAATATTAATTATGATTTGGTTTCATAAAACGACAGATATTGTGGAACAAAAAAAATTAGATAAAACGACAGATATTTAGAAACAGAGGGAGTACTTTTTTTGATTTTAAAATTTTTATTTTACCAATTTAATCCTCAATGTACACATATTGAACCAATACAATCCATTACCTTAATTAGAACTATTAATCAAACTGAGTTAATTGAGCTCAATTTGAGTTTGGCTTTTTCAACACGGTTAAAATAAGTCAAATTTGAACAATGTTATATGCTTGTTTGAAAAACAAGCCGGACAGACTTAACTTGTTTATGTACAAATACTTGAGTTCGGCTTGTTTTGGGCTTGTTCAGGCTCAGCTCATTTTCTGAACGAGCAGAACTTGAACAACTTTTTAGACTCGGTTAAGAAAACAAGTTTTTCTCATTTGGTTTGAACTCATTCGACTATCAACTCTAGCCCTAATAGCCGTTAATATTAGTGACCCAAAATCATTACCCATGCATCGCATGTGCCTGCTATTAAGGATAATTTGGTCATTTTGACCAACAATGTTACATCCACCATATTTTTTTTTTCAAATTTTCTATCTCAAATTAATGTTAACTATAGGATAGTAGGTCTCATAATTTTTTACTAACTATTTAATAACTCTCGATCTACAACATCATTTGAGATTTGTAACTTAGTAAAACATTTCATAGACACAACATTTCATTATACGTTAAATTACAATGGTTATTTTTATCAAAAAAGAAATAGAATAAGTAAAATGATGTGTTCACCAAGACGTTTACCAAATTTTGAATTCCAAGTGATGTGGTCTTTGTCACGTAATCATCCTAAACTCCTAGCAAATTTGTGCTCTAGGAGCAAATTCTTCGTGAATTTGTGCTTTCATTTTATAAAATTTGCAAATTCGACTAATTTGCACTCTTACTTATTTATATGCTTACTTATTATTACTTAAATTTGTATTTGTGAAGTACTAACCCAGACCTAAAGATACATATCAAATTAGAATAATATTTATAATTGTCATTTTAGAATTTTATAATTAATGTATATTTAAAAATTAAATAGTTTTGTCTCATAATTGTGCATTAAATTTTAATTTTTATATTTTATTTATATTAAAATTTTATAGGTGAATGTGTGTCTATATACATATATTATGTATGAGACCTGAACTTACAAATATATAACATTTTATAAATGCTGGGGTCGAATATGTAATTAGTGATAATTACTCTATGGTTTAATTATAGTTATTGAACTATGGAGAATTTAATAAATGTTTTGAATAATAATCTTTGGGGTTGCATTTTATGATAAATATGCATTTAGGTGCAATTTAATGGGTGATAAAACATTTTTGGTGTGAATTATTAACTTTTGAAAAAAATTAAGTGGTGAATGTGTGATTGGGAAAACATTAAGGGGACCTAAACGTAAATAGATCAAAATTGGTGACTCACTTCTCCCAAGTGCTTTTCCTAGCTTTCTCCTGTGTTTTTAGTTTTTATGCATGAACCGGTACATGAATACATATGTACCGATACCTATATAAATACTATATATACGTGTGTGTAAATTGTACATAGAACTCTACAGAGAGAGAAGAGAAAAGAGAAAAGAAAGAAAAAGGAGGAAGAGGATAAATATGCATTTAGGTGCAATTTAATGGGTGATAAAACATATTTGGTGTGAATTATTAACTTTTGAAAAAAAATTAAGTGGTGATTGTGTGATTGGGTAAACATTAAGGGGACCTAAACGTAAATAGATCAAAATTGGTGACTCATTTCGCCCAAGTGCTTTTCCTAGCTTTCTCATGTGTTTTTAGTTTTTATGCATGAACCGGTACATGAATACATATGTACCGATACATATATAAATACTATATATACGTGTGTGTAAGTTGTGCGGAGAACTCTACAGAGAGAGAAGAGAAAAGAGAAAAGAGAAAAGAAAGAAAAAGGAGGAAGAGGAACAAAGTCAAACTAACAGAGAAAGAAAGTTGGGATATTGTAAACTTTGAATTTTTGATTGGGTTCGAATTGAACCATCTTTGTCTTGGTAAATTAACTACTTTTACTAATTAATTGTGTTACTGATCATAATTGTGAATTATAGATTTTGGATTTATGTTTAGTAATGGTTTTATATGGAATTGAAGGTTTGGATTGTTAGTATGTAAGTATGGGAGTTACTGGGTTTGAGAGAGGTGATTGAAGATGAAGTATGTTAAAGTTTTGTAACAAAAACCTAGGGATGAATTGGTACAAACATCAATGAACTAGTACAACTAAATTCAATGAAGGAAGAACCGATACAAAATGGTGTTGTACTAATACAATAAAAGTTGTACTAGTACATCGATGAACAGGTACAAGCAGTTTCAGCTTGAGTATCTGTAGGAGAATCACCATAATTCTCTCTAGAAAATACTAGTTGATGCACTTTTTTTTTGTTGGAATCCAAACTCACAGATCTTTCTAACCATATAGAATAAAACACCTAATTATATTTGTGTGAAAAATGGTGGCCATTAAAAGTGGACTAAAATTCTGCAACTGTTGAACAGGCAGCCAACTTAGTACTTTTCAGGAAAAATGAGTCAACTTTTACATTGGAATCTAATTTTAGCTAATGACATATGGTTGCAAAGCTTGAAATGTTTATTTTAAGATGAAATTGGTTCCACCAAGTAATTCAAAGTACATGGAGAATTTTAACTAGAAGATTACAAGTCGGCCAATCTAACTATTAAATGTGAAGGTGAAAATTAAGGTGTTTTAATTGTATAATCTAAACTAAGATTTTGGTTTACATTATATCACATGGGAAGGGGTTTGGAGATGTATTAATACAAGCATGAGTATACAGTGAATCATGCATATTTATAATGAAATGCATAAATAGAGGATATTTATATGTCTTTGTGACGATGTGTGTTAGGTACGGAGGTGACGACGTTGATTCCACCTAAGGTATCACCGGGGGGGGGGGGGGGGGGAGGGATTAAATGTGGGTTTGGAGTTGAACGCAATGTGAGTGTATTGATTCATATACATTGAAAATATGATTGGTTGATTGCTAGATATATATTATTAGCTATATTTATATGAAAATAGTTAGACTGTGGTTGGTGGTTTGTGAGTGGTGAATCAATGTTTGGTTATGAGTTTATGTACTTGAAATGATTGTGTTGTGCTTTGAAAAGTGAATGGTAGCTGAAACTCTTGGTCATAAACAGGTAGTGATGTGATTGCTGAAACTCCCAGGCGGAAACGGGTGGTCATTGGTTCTTGTCGAGACTTCCAAGCGTTATTGGATAGTCAAAAATTGAATGTTAGATAGTGAATGTTGATTATTGGATGGTGGATTTTGGATTCTATTTTAAATGTGTAAATGATAGATATTTATAATTGTGTTATGGTTGTGTGATTTCTTTTTATATGTCTCGTATATATTCACTGAGCATGTGGTTTGTTCACCCCCTCACAGTTGTTTGTTTTGTTGGACCAAAACAGTTTTTAAGTGTAAAAATTGAGTTTTTGGTCGACTTTAAGCCTAAATTAAAGTGAGACCCGATTATTATTTTGAATAAATTTTGTGGGTTTATATTCTACTCCGTGAGGAGAATAATATAGTATATTCACTTGCTCAAATCGAGTAAGAAATGAATGAGAAAATAGGCTCCAAATTAACCCTCTTGAAATGTGAAAATAAAGGAAGTGTAATGTAGGATGTGACACCAATCCCACATTGGTTGAGGAAGAAATTCAACATGGGCATATATAGGCCAAGTTTGCTCTATGGGATTGGGCCTCAAAGGGTACCACAGTTTTATGAGCGGAGCGAGCATCTACATACCTTCGCTTCAACCACATGCGAGCGTGCGCCGCCCGCTCGCCTCGCCACGGCCCAACCGGGCTCGGCCTCAGATGTGGGTGTGGGTGTGGTCCAAGCCCTGTCTATAAATACCCAGTTCATGCATGCATTCAGATATTATTATTCAATAATTCATTCAGTCCGTTTTCGACATTTAGCAGACATTACAACATATCATTTTTGGCATTAAGGCAGTGCATTTAGAGAGTACACAACACGATTTTGGTTTGCTGGACGAGTAGATTGGAGTGCTACTTCTGTTCGTGTAAGATCATTGTATCCTGGGAGGCATGCAGACACTCGGTTTCCATAAGCACCATGTATGGGAGCGAAATCTGTCTTAAGGACATAGTGTCAAATACTAGTCTTGATCTATTTAAAGTTCAATAACAGTTCCTGTTTTGCAAATTTTTGAATAGTTTGTAATATTTGTTTATCA